TTTTTTTTTTTTTTTTTTTTGAGACAGGGTTTCTCTGTGGCTTTGGAGCCTGTCCTGGAACTAGCTCTGTAGACCAGGCTGGTCTCAAACTCACAGAGATCCGCCTGCCTCTGCCTCCCGGCTGGATATTAGCTATTAAATAAATAATAATCCACCCACAATCCATAGACCCAGAGAGGTTAGTTATAGGAAGGGACTAGAGGAGACACATGGATCTCTGTGGGAGGGGGAAACAGAACAGACCTTGCGGTTATACTGGGGCAGGTGGAGATGAGAATGGGAGGATCCAGTAAGGAGGGGGGAGGGAGATAAGAGTTGAGGGAAGGAATGTGGGGAGAAACAGAATTAAGGAACACTTGAGGAATAATATGGAAACCTAGTGCAGTGGAAACTTCATAAAATACATGAAGGTGATCCTAATGAAGTCTCCTAATAATGGGGGATACGGAGTCCTAGCTGGCCATCTTTAGTCACCAATCAAGAATCCCAGTACTGGGACTGGGCTGCATTCAATTGAGTTTTTAGCCAAGGGGGTCCCACAGAAATCTCCAAACAATCCAGGCTGTTGCTAAGACAATGGGCTGCTCTCCACAAACTGACAGCACCTGACATTGCTGAGGACAGCACTCACACAATTCATTGAACATGAACAGTTGAACTGATGCCTTCACCCCTATGTTCTGGTGTCTTTGATGTGCGAAGGTGCTCTGCAGGCTACCAACCGAGAAAGGTATATACCAACGCAGCTATAAAACCTTTGATCGACCATCTGTCCAGCCTGCAAGATATGCTAGGGCAATGGGGCCCAGAACTTCTGGAAGCAGACAACCAATGTCTGACTTGACTTAAGGCTACTCCACAAAATAGAACCCAGAGCTCTACTACACAGCCCAAAGACCTGGGGTAAAACCAAAGACTAAAAGAAAAAAGGATCAAAAAATGACCCCTAATCATATTCTGCTATACTCTTAGACCAGTGTCTATTCAGTCATCATCAGAGAAGTTTCTTCCTGCAGCAGACAGGGAAAGATGTAGCCCCATGGCCAGACATTACAGAGTGAGAACCCTGGGAAAACACAGCTCTAAATGGAAGGTCGCCAACAGCTCCTCTTCTGAGAGTGCAGAGAGTCCCTCAGAAGAGACGGCACATTGAAACAGTCCATAAATGAAGCTGTGTGAGATTTCTGAGACCTTGTGAGAAAACTCCAAATAAACAAGAGTTGTAATCTCTGTTCCTCCATAACATGGGCTGTTCTTGGATGTGCTTTTGTGCCCTCCCAGTACAGTGGATTCGAGTTTACTTGGGATTATTCATTACAACTATTATTTGTTTATATGTCTCTATGGAAAAACATGTTTTTGCCACTTGTAGCTTGTCCTTGTGATTATATACAACTTGAACTCATGACAACTTTAGTCAGGTGACCTTTCTTAACCCTCGGTAATAAATTGTCTGATGCTCTGCGTTAAGCTGACATGAGACTTCAGTCTGCCTCATTTATAGGGTCCATTCTCCCCGGTCCCACTACAAACGAGGGGGATAAACAAAGGAGAAAGAGTATCAGAGCCAGAGGGGATGGAGGAAAACTAGAAGAACAAGACTCTGAGTAACTTAGCAAAGGTCATATGAAATCACAGAGACTTAAGCAACAAGCACAAGACTAGATCCTCTGTATATATATTACAGTGCTCAGTTTAGTATTTTCTATGGACATCCTGAGTGCTTGAATGAGTTCATCTCTGATTTTTATGCCTGCTCTTGGGGCTCTTTTCCTTCTGATAAGAAGCCTTATTCAGTCTTGATGTGATGGAATTTGCCTTATCTCCTATTTTATTTTGTTATATTTGATTGTTAATTCTTAGAAGCCTATTCTTTTCTAATGAGAGACAGAAAAGGAGTAGATCCAGATGGGAGAGGAAGTACAGAGGACTGCAAGGAGTAGAGGGAGGGGAAACTGTTATCAGGATACACTGCATGAGAAAAGAATCTATTTTCAATAAATGGAAAGAATGGGAAAAAAATACATTGTGATTTTAGTAAAGCCAGAGCATAGACCTGCACAAATTCTCAGTTTTCAAATCACAGGCCAAAGTTTTTCTGTCCTATGCCCAGCCCTGCCAGGGCCCTGTTTGCTTGGACCTATCCTAAATTTTTCTAAGTAATTCATGATTCTTGGCATCTATGGGTACCATTGGCCATCCACTAAAATCCAGAGGGTCTTTATATAACAAGAGGATTAAGAATCCTAAGGGTAGTGACTCCATTTATTACAATAAAGAACCTTTAGATATGGCTCAGGTTTCCCCATACTTACCTCTACTCCTTTACAAAGTTGACAATTTCCACAATTTGGAAGCAAATATGCAAACAAAAACAGAGGCCTAGTGATCCAGAGGAACAAACAAGAGGGGTAGGTAGGGTTCTCTCCCAAGGCATGAAGTCATCTCTTTGTCATGGCCTTCAAGGCCAGTGTGTGATCTAATCTGCCTACTGTTCCAGCCTCATCCCACATGCTGCCCTCAGACCCTTGGGCCCTAGTCTTGAGGAAGGCTTGCAGTTCCTGGAATTCTAAGGCCTGCATAGACCATTCTCTTTGTCCTTTTGCCAAGAATGCTCCCACTTACTAGCCTTCACAATGAGGTCTCACAATGTAGCCTTCCTCTGCTAGTGTGTTCCACAGTATCTACTTCATTTGTGAGGTATTTACTTAATAGTCACTTAAGTAAATAACTCACAGTCCTACAATTCCATGTGTCTAGCTTATTTTATTATTCTAAAGTAATAACACAATATTATCATCAATAAATACCACTAAAGATTAATATAGTGTATCTACAGATTAGTCTTTGTTTCTAGATGCTTTCAAAGTATTATGATTTTAGTAAAGTCACAGCATTATTCTGCATAAATTCAGTGTTGTCATAAAGGCACACAACATTCACAAAATGAAGGTATGAAAGTGATGAAGTCAAAAGAGTAACAGAAAGAGGGATGTCTTGACCTCGGATCCTTACAGCTTGACGTTCAAGAATAAATACAAGCCATATGGGATTCCTAGGCACATCAATGATAACCCTCAATCAAAAACTACTGTTAAAACCAAGATAAAACAATTTCAGACTGTGGGGTTCCAAACAAATCAATGAATGAAGAACTACATAGAAACATTCAAATATTCAAATGATTCAAATTTTAAAAACGGGGATTCTATTCACATATTAATAGAATCCTATTATTTTATATATTACACACAACTTCACTGTAAAAATTTAGACAGAAAATACTTTTAATTTTCCTTAAATCACTAGATTTTGTTAATTATGATAAAATATGCTTCTATATTTTCAGTCACAATTCACGTTTGTAAACTTTTATTACATACAGAACTAATCTAATGATTACATCCTGTATTTTAATAGAAACACCTAATATATAAGGAATCAATAACATCAATTAAAAGAAATTCCATAGAACGCTTCTTCTTGTGACTACTTGCATTACATGTTTTCTCTGGACCCTGTGATGGTCTACCTAAGAGATCTCAGACTCACCTTAGGACATGCTGGGTCTCTCGCTGTTTCAATCATTAGTGCAGATCCCATTCTATCCCTTTATTAAACAAAAATACGTGAGTTATATCAAAACTATTTTATCTCTTAGCAATCAAGGACTATATATATATATATATCTATATATATATATAGATATATATACTTGCCTGTAGATCTGTTATAGTGCTACAACAAACAAAAATAACTTTAAACCTCCAAGAGGCTTAAATCCAATAAATCACACTGCAATGACATATCATGCAAATTCATAAAGACATTCTCAGAAGTTACAAAATAAAAGACCATTTGGTGGTACATTAGCTGGCTTTGTAACTTTCTTTTATACATTTACTGAAACATCTTAAAATAGTACTATGACTTCATGAGAAATTATATGAATTATTCCTTCCTAGCAGGCTCAGAAGAACGTGAAATAACATTTAACCTGCAATAATGGGTAAGTTCACAAGTTGAAGGATGTAAATACATACTCTGTTATAATTGATAATTCCTACATAATTTCCCATGGAATCTTTCTAGTATGGCAAAAGTAGCTTAAGATTCATTTAAAAGATTAAGTGAAAAGAGCTAACATATTTCTAAGAAAGAGGGGGAAAGTATTTCATTAAAATTAAAAATTTATAGACACTGAACAAAAATTAACAGATGAAAACTTGAACATATACTGTCATGTAATGTGGTATTTCAAATCAATGAAAAAAGGAAACAAAAAAGTAAACTCAAACATTTGAATTGGGTAAAACAAAGCTTGATTTCAGTACACATCAAGATCATTTTCAGATAGACAACTAACTTAAAAGCTTACCATTAAACTGAATATAACAATTATTTACTTGATTTCAGGACAGAAAGTAATTTTATAGGCATTAAAACAAAGTTAAAAATCATTAAGAAAAACATGGTTAAAGAACATTTGTAAATCCACTACATTAAAAATATCACTCACTAAAAATATTTTTGAGGCTGGGGAGACATCTCAGTGGGAAAGGGCAGGGCACTTGCTTTAAAATCAAGAGGGCATGAGCTCAAGTCCTGAGCATCTACATAAAAGCAAGACAAGGCTATGCATGCCTGTCACCCTGCATTGAGGACAGAGACAGGTGGGTCTCAGGAGGTCACTGGCCAACTAGTCTCGCCAAAACTAGTCTAGGCAACCTTTAGGTTCAGTGAAATAAGGTGGAGAATGATACAGTAAGACAACAGATCAGAGTGTGGTACCCAATGTTGCCTTCCAGCCTCTCTTTGTGCCCAAAAGGGCACCTGCATACATATATGTGATTAATGCTAACTCAGTACAAGCTAGGATCGTCTGGGGAAAAGGAACATTTTGATTGAGAAAAAAGCCTTCATCAGAGAGGTCTGTAGCGCATTTTATTGGTTAATGATTGCTCTGGAGAGAGCAATTATAAACAGGTGGTCTGAGGGTTGTATAAAAAAGCAGGCTGAGTGAGCCATGAGAAACAAGTCAGTAAGCAGCATTCCACCATGGCCTTTGCTCCAGTTGCTGCCTAGAGCTCCTGTCCTGACTTTAAGTCACGACGGACTGTGCTTGGGATGTGTAAGCCAAATCAACCCTTTCCTCCTAAGGCGCTTTTGTTAATCGTGCTTTATCACAGCAATAAAAAATAAACTAGGATATAGTCTCTCCCCCGCCCCCCGCCAAAAAACAAACCAAACAAACAAACCACCACACTATTAAAAAGAAACTAGGAATAAATAAAGTATATTCTTGAAATAACAACAGCAAAAAGTATTCTGGACCCATTAGATGGCTCAGTAGATGAACATGCTTGCTGCCAAGTCTCATGATCTGAGTTCAATTACAGGAACCCACAAGTAGAGAAAACAGTCTGGCATGAAAACCCAAACACAGATATACACAATAAATACATGTAAAAAACAATTAACACAGTTTTCAATATATAGTTAATATATTCATAATATAATGGACACTGCCCTGACAGAAAAATAAGCAAAATATAATATCCATACAATTTACAAAAAGAATGTAATAAAAAATATAAAGAAGGTTCATGGTCTCTTAAAAAAACTCTCAAACTCATATATTTTAAAAGTTTAATTATTTGGTATTTTAAAAGACTTCATAAATAGAAAACTGGCAGATGAATAAGCCAGGATCCCATTTTTAAGAACAATTCAGCTAGATACAAACATATACCTCAAGATTTACTGTTTGAGACTTTCACTCACCCATGCATTACTATGTCTGGATCAAATCCATCCCCATTCTCTGCCCTCCAATCCCTTCCCTCTTCCTACCACCACTTTTCCCTCCCAAATTCATGTGTTCCTTTTCCCCAAAACCTTTAAAACAAGTATAACATTCTGACACACGGTTTTATGTCTAGGATTTTCCTAGGCAATATGTTAAGCCAAAAATAATATATTCATAATAGGAGAGAATGAACAACCATTCAAAATGCTTTCAAATATATTGATGATAGATCCCAGAGACAGATGCTAAGTGAAAGTGTAGGACACATGCACAATCATCCCAATTGTGGGGAGAAGAAATACACACGTGAACACAAGCACACACTTGTTTGGCTCTAAGTTCTAAAAAGGAATATTAAAGTTTTTGTTCTTAGTGGGATTATAAGTTATTTTCATTGATTTCTTTAATGTTTCATTTTTTTAAAAAACAGCATTTGAACAAATGAGAAATGAGTAATTTTCCTATAACTTAACAAGACTGATACATTCTGAAATGTTGGCAGAAGTTTAAAATCAGCCTTCTGACATGGGATGTCCTTCTGTATGTGTGTTACTTTTACTGGTTGACGATTAAAGCTGTTTCGGCCAATGGTTTAGCAGAGTAAAGCCAGGAAGAAATTCCAACAGAGATAGAGAGAGAGAGTGGGCAGTCAGGAAGACACCGTGTAGTTGCCGAAGGAGAAAGATGTCAGAACAGAACCTTACCTGGTAGGCCACAGTCTCGTGGCACTTTAATTCTAGTGATGGGGAGACAAAGACAAGTGGATCACTGGGGCCTGCTCACCTGTCAATTCAGCCAAATTGATGACCTCCAACTTTAGTAAAGGACCCTGCTTCCAAAGATAAAGTAGGCTGGGAAGATGGCTCAGTGGGTAAAGAATGTGCTTCACAATCATGGAACCTGACTTCTATCCCCAGACTTCATGAAAAGGTGGAAGAAGAGAACCAACTCCACAAACTGCCCTCTGGCCTCCACATAGGTGCTACAGAGCACACATGACCACACATCATACACATAATGATAGACAGTAAATAAAAACGTGGAATGACCAAGGAGGACACCTAACATCAACCTTTGGCTTCCACTTGAGTGTACACATACATGTGCACCACAAACATATAAACATACATAGAGATGAAAATATGCACTCATACACATACTAAAAAACGTTAATTATGATTTCTACATGCAAGTCTTACACACACAAGTTCAAGAATCTGTGACTAGAACATGACGCACCAACACAGTAATAGTAGTTACTATTATTCCAAAAAGTAGGAATAATATTATTCTTTGTATTCCTTTTAGTTTTCAAATTTTAATATGTATAAACAACAATATAACCAAAATATTTTCAAAGGAATTAAAACTCACTTAAGGATCTTTTCCCACGTGTGACTGTCATAAAATGCATGGCTCCAACTCATTTTGACTGTCCCGACAATGACGTTCTGTGAGAACACATCCGATCCCAACTTTCTATAGAGTTCCTCACATTCATCCAGCGGCATGTGGAACAATCCCAGCATGAACGCTAATATGGCCCCTGGAAAGAATATTCTTAGTCTTTATCAGCAGTGAGGTGACTGCTCTTACAAGTACACATGACTCTGAGCCACCGAACTGCTGAAACTCTACATCTGATGCTTTCCGTCTGTGAAATGAGCATAAATAATAACTACAATTTATAAGTACCTTACACTTGACTAATGCATGTAAAACACTTTTTCACGTCCCAAAAGATGACACTGAAAGGTATCACTGACTTCAAGGTAACAAAGAAAGCAATTTAAAAATATTATCAAAATGTTTTATACTAAATTAGATTATATGTAAGATGAAATGGCAAGTAAAAGCAAGTTTTACTAACAAAATACAGTGTATTTGAGAACTCCATAAATTCATTAAGCAACTTCCCCCTGAATTAGGCCCTAGAATCAATGTGATGAAAGAAATTAGTCTAAGATGTTCTTTTAAATAGTTGATTTTATGTACCAGTTGTAACGGTAGGACACTCTGCCACCTAGTGGTTTACTTTGCCTTACTCTGAACTAAAGAGGAAAACGAAGTGCTGGGATATGAGTAAAAAAGACCTGCTCAACTTTGCTGCTTAACCTGCAAAGGAATACCAGCAATACAGTTTAAATGCTTTCTTAGTTTTAATGTTTTTTATTTCCTATGTATTAGTGCTCTGAATGCACGTATGTCAGCACACTACATGCACGCCTGGTGCCATGAAGTTCACAACAGGGCACTGGCTCTTCTGGAAATGGAGCTAAAGATAGCTGTGAACTGAGCCCTGGTCCTGGAGAAATCTAGACAGTGCTCTCTTAAATCCCTAAGTCATCTCTCCAGTGATGCAAAGTTTATTAATTTTATTTTAATTGGTAGCATTTTAGTAAAAGATAATTCATAACTTGAAAATACAATATTATGGATCAAACTACATAAAATATTTTTAATTTGGAGAATATTCCTAATAACATAATAAGTAATTTGTTTTAAAAAGTTAAATGATTCTTTTTTTTTTTTTTTTTTTTTGAGACAGGGTCCCTCTATGTAGTCCTGACCGTCCTGGAGTTAGATACATATGCCACGCTGACCTCAAGCTCATAGAGATCCCTTCTGTCTCTGCTTCCCTAGTACTAGGAAAGTGCCTTTCTATTACCTTTAGATGTTTAATTGCCAGGACCATTCCAAATTTCAGAAATGGGGAATGTGTCAAACCAAACCCACAAACAACACTAGACTTAGGAAATGTCTCTTTGAGAAGCTTTTAGAGTCAAATCAATTACTTTTGGACATGTACTTTATTTTCTTTCTTTTTTTTAAAAAAAAACTTTCTTTTAATATTTATCTATTTATTATGTATACAATACTCTGTCTGCATGTATGTCTGCAGGCCAGAAGAGGGCACCAGAACTCATTACAGATGGTTGTGAGCCACCATGTGGTTGCTGGGAATTGAACTCAGGACCTTTGGAAGAACAGGCAATGCTCTTAGCCGCTGAGCCATCTCTCCAGCCCTTTATTTTCTTATTTTGAGTCATACTATATATTAAAAAAATCTACAAGAAAATAAACACTTCAAATATGACATACTAAGAGACCTCTGCAAAGAAATGTTTTCTTCCTTCTCCATGCTTGCTAACACCTGAAACCCTGGGTTCCTTACTCCACTGTGCATCACCCCATGAATCTCATCATTCAGTCTTTCAGCTGGGGAACAATTAGCGTGCACTCTGGGAATATGCCACAATTAACACTAGCCATATGGAGAGATCTCTGGTTGTTTGTAGTGGTCTTTAGAGTTACCACAGTTCAGAAGAATAAGGCATAGATATAAACCTTGTGAAGAGCACATTAAAATGAGAAACTGAGTCAAACAGTAAAATAAATTAACAATTACTTCAAGTAAAATTCTTGTATACAAACATAAAACCTCCTTTCATGCATATGCCAAGGAGCAGTATTTAAAAGTAGCTTTGCAGATCAAAGACACATTTGCCATTTTAAGTTCTAGTTTCAAACCACCATATAAATAACACAGGAGTCAAATTACTCACTGATATTCCTTACAAACAATCAAGGCTTTTACCGCCTTTAATTTCATATTAAATCAAGTCCCCATCTGACTACCTGCCACTTCATCCTTCTGCCATCATCTCCTTATGGTGACTATGCCAAAAAAGCAGTGATTAGATTCATTGTCAATGTGACTTGTTGAAAATATAATAAAAAAGTCATTTTAAATGCTTACACTTAAAAGGTTACATGCTTAAAAAATAAGTTTGAAAAGTTCATGACACAAAGGGTTAACCATCATTAAAGTTGAGAAAAGAATGCCCAGCATTTCAGAGAAGGACCATATCTCCAGTCTTCATGCTCTTCCTGTAATTCACTGGTGGGACACACCCAAGTACATGACAGTCACCTGTGCTTACACCACAGATGTAATCAAACAGCTCATGAATTGGCTTCTGAGTAAGTTCAACCAATTTCCTCAGAGTCTGAAGAGCAACCACACCTCTGTGAAAGAAAAAATACAAATGGATAATTTGTTTCAAGGAAAATTCAAGTTATAAAATAAAATAATTCTATAAAACTGCTTTTAGCATTTGACAAAATTCAACACCTCTTTATGATAAAAGTCTTGGAAATATTAGGGATACAAGGATCAAATCTAAATATAATAAAAGCAACATACAGCAAGCCGACAGCTAACATCAAATTAAATGAAGAGAAACTCAAAGCAATTCCACTAAAATCAGGAACAAGACAAGGCTGTCCACTCTTTCCATATCTCCTCAATATAGTGCTTGAAGTTATAGCAATAGCAATAAGACAACATAAGGAGATCAAGGGGATTCGAATTGGAAAGGAAGAAGTCAAACTTTCGTTATTTGCAGATGATATGATAATGTACATAAGTGACCCCAAAAACTCTACCAAAGAACTCCTACAGCTAATAAAAACCTTAAGTAATGTGGCAGGATACAAGATCAACTCAAAAAAATCAGTAGCCCTTCTATACACAAAGGATAAAGAAGCAGAGAGGGAAATCAGAGAAACTTCACCTTTCACGACAGCCACAAATAGCATAAAGTATCTTGGGGTAACTCTAACCAAGGAAGTGAAAGATCTATTTGACAAGAACTTTAAGTCTTTGAAGAAAGGAATTAAAGAGGATCCTTCCAGAAAATGGAAGGATCTCCCATGCTCTTGGATTGGTAGGATCAACATAGTAAAAATGGTAATTCTACTAAAGGCAATCTATAGATTCAATGCAATCCCCATCAAAATCCCAACAAAATTCTTCACAGATCTCGAAAGAACAATAATCAACTTTGTTTGGAAAAACAAAAAACCCAGGATAGCCAAAACAATCCTATACAATAAGGGAACTTCCGGAGGCATTACCATCCCTGACATCAAACTCTATTACAGAGCTACAGTAATGAAAACAGCTTGGTATTGGCATAAAACAGAGACATTGACCAATGGAATTGAATTGAAGACCCGGATATTAATCCACAAACCTATGAGCACCTGATTTTTTTACAAAGAAGCTAAAACTATACAATGGAAGAAAGAAAGCATCTTCAACAAATGGTGCTGGCATAACTGGATATCAACCTGTAGAAGAATGAAAATAGTTCATATCTATCACCATGCACAAAACTCAAGTCCAAATGGATTAAAGACCTCAATATAAATCTGACCACACTGAACCTGATAGAAGAGAAAGTGGGAAGTAGCCTGCAATACATGGGCACAGGAGACCACTTTCCATGTATAACCCCAGTAGCACAGACAATAAGAGTAACAATGAATAAATGGGTCCTCCTGAAACTGAGAAGCTTCTGTAAAGCAAAGGACAGAGTCATTAAGACAAAAGGCAACCTACTGAATGGGAGATCTTCACCAACCCCAAATCAGACAAAGGTCTGATCTCAAAATATATGTCACAATATAGCCTCTATATTCATAAATAAAAGTGGCTTTATGTTTTAGTTTTAAAAATTGATTTTATGGCTGGTCAGTGGTGGCAAATGCCTTTAATTCCAGCACTTGGGAGGCAGGGGAAGGAGAATCTCAGTGAGTTTGAGGCCAGCCTGGTCTACAGAGTGAGTTCTAGGATAGCCAGGGCTACACAAAGAAACCCTATCTCGAAAAATAAAAATAAAAAAATGATTTTAGAATAACTCTATTAAAATCTTTAAATAAAATCGCTAAGGCTGAATTAAATATGTAGTTTTAGAAGCCATTTTTCTAGCCTTACCTTGTTCCTCCACCATCAATTGTGAGGATTCGGATTCCTCTGCCTTTCACTGGATCCACATAACCAATTAAGGCCAAAATTTCTCTAACTGCAGCCTGAAGAGTCTCATCTTTAATTTGTCTAAGTCGTAATAAATACGGAATAATTTTTTCCTACATTGAGAAAAAAAGATACCTTGTTACTTATGTCAGATTGAGAAGGAAAATGTAGCTGGCATGGCAGCACACGTGTGGAACCCCAACATTAGGAAGATAAAGGCAGGGGAACCTAGAGTTCAAGACGAGCCTCACTAAAGTGACACCGTGTAACAGAAAGAAAACATATATTTAGCTACATGAGTATAGCATAAAATGAACATGTATTTATTACTTTCACTGTGATTAAAAATGATTACTTTATGACATGCTAGTATCAATAACAATTTAGCATATATTTGTCCTTATTTGAGGATCAAAAACAAATAAACAACCAAAAAATACCAGTCTCTTCCCAAACATTTTCTTAAAATGTGCAATGTTTGCTAAGTGGTATAGCACACCCCTATACTCCCAGCATTTAGGAATCTAGGGCAGGAAGACTGTGAGTTTGAGGCTATCCTGGGCTATAGAATAAGTTCAGCCAGCCGAATTACTTAGCAAGACTGCCTATAGAAAAAGAAAACGTTCAATACTCAATACAGAAAATATGACTCTCTTAATACAATTAGTAGTAATTTTGCCAAAAAGCTTACATAAATTTAAGGGAAAAGCTGAGCTGTGTAATGTTCAATACATTGAATAATTTTCTAATGCATTACTCACTTTGCTTCTTTTGTTGACCAACCAAACCTGAAATACTGTTTTTGTTATTCTGCTTTTTGTCCTAGCTAGTACTGGGCTGCAAAGGACCCCTTCAGGAATCTGAACAATAGTGGAAGCTACACAGGCAAATTTCCATTACTGGTAAGCATACAAAATTTGTTAAGAGGTCCTCGCCCATGTCAAGAGCAACCAGAAAAACCTTAGCGAACTCAAGAAGGCCACGTTCTAAATGCACCACAGAGCTGCTAAACACAGCATGGGAGCAGCTTTCCATCTGGAGAGGGTTACTGCTGCCTGGAGCTGATAACCTTGCTCTTTCCTCCAGACATTTGCTGATTCTGGGAAGACACAAAGGACAGAAAAGCTGGGCTTGATTTAGAGAGGGTCACAAAGAAACAGAGAACTCAGCGAAGCTTGTATTTTTATGAGGTTGGAGTCACAAAACTGAAGGCCTAGGAATACTGCATAGCTGTTTTCAACTTAACACACCTGCAGAATTCTCAAAGTAAAATGTATGGGAGGGGGAAAATGCTAAATTTAAGCCTTCTGTAAAAACAAGATAATGTTTTGTATTCTTAATTTAGTTTGGAAGACCCAAGGCATGGTGGTAGTGCAGGAATATACACTAAGAAAAGGAAAATTAAAGGTCTTTCCCAAACTCTAATAATCCTTAGCTCTGTCCTACTTAGTGATGGTGGTCCATTTCGTATTTCAGTAGAGAAGCAAAATAACTCTCTGGAAAAAAAATCTAGAATTTTTGCAATTTTTGAAACTCACAATTGCCCAGCATACAGAAAAGTTACAATGTATGTCAAATCGGTACCATACAGTCAAAGACCAGGGGTGAGTCTCCTACTAGAATTACCAACAAAAGATGCTTAAATCACAATAACATTAGCAAAATTACACCTCAAAACATCATAGTTATAAATTAACAAAATAAGCATAATGAAAGATGTATAAGGCACTCATGTTAAAGAAGTTTAAATACTGATGGAAAACAAAGATTAAGTTGAGAATTTACCATAAACTGTCTTACTGATTTCCTATAATCTTAACATAATTTTATTCTCCTTTTTTACTTCAAAATTCATCTGTAAATGTGGCATGCTAAGAGTAGTCAAAGTAGGGGCTGGGTAAGTGATTAAGAGCACTGGCTGCACTTTCCAAGGTCTGGGTTTTAATACCCAGCACCCACATGGAAGATCACTACTGTAACTCCGGTTCCAGGGATCTGATACTCTCTCTGACCTCCACAGGGCACCAGACTCACACATTGCCACAGACAGACAGATAAAGATAAGTTTAAAAAAGGAAGAAAAATAATAGCAAAGTTAGGAGGCTGGAGAGATAGTTCAGTGGTTAGAAACACGAGCTGCTTTTGCAGAGGTCCTGCGTTTGGTTGCCAGCATCCACATCTGGTAGTTCCCTACCATCTATAACTCTCCCTCCAGGTGATCCAATGCCCTCTTTCAGCCTCCAGAGGCATCTTTACTTACATGAACCTATGTACCTATGTAGACATACATGCATATACATAGCTTTAAAAATAATTAATCTTTTTTAAAAAGAAAAGCTGAGTTAGAAATTATAAGGATGAACAGAGGTAAAAAGACTTACAAAATGAGACATTAAATTTATTATAAATCTAAAGTAATTTAGGAAGTAGTTAGAACATCATATACAAGTTCTACAGCTATACCATTTCCTCCTTTCCTTCTATGTCTCTCCTCCCCCCACCCCACTCATGACCCTTTGGTAGTGGTGGTGGTGTTGGTATATATGTGTGTGTGGGGGGTATGTGTGTTGGAGCCAACTGAAGTGGATCCATTCGACTTAATTAAAGGTCAGAGAGAGTTCAGGCAAAGTTTGCTCCTTCAAGGTTATTTACGTATTTATAGGATCTTTGACCTAAGGTGTGGCTACTAACTGGAGGTCTTGACCTAGGGTGTGGCTGCTTGGTGTTTTGGGTATTAAGACGGCCCACAGAGCACAGAGCAGACCTGTTCTACCCTGACAAAAGGTCAGAGAGTTCAAGCCTATTCCTGCTCCTTCAAGGTTTCTGGCAGAAGATTTGACTTAAGGTGTGGCTATTAATAGGCATCTTGACTGAGGGTGTGGTTACTTGGTGTTTTGGGTATTAACTTTATTACTTTGTTCCTTGTAGTATGTTTTTTTTTTAAAAAAAAAAAAAAAAACAAAAAAAGGCTTTTCCTATCCTCTTGTGGATGGGGTATTTAAAGGTCATAAGAAATAAACATTCGGTTGTCCTCCCAACTCTATCCTATGTCTCTGTATCTCTTTTGTTTTTCCGTTTATTCTGTCTAACATTCTAATCCACACGCCCCTACCCTGGAACAAGGCAGGACTGACATATGTGTGTATAGAATCTACTGAATCCGTTAAGCTTTGCCTGAATGTACATGTGTCCAGGGCTGACTGCTTGGGTTTAACAGCCAGAATGGGAGCTCTTCCGTGGAGGAAACTGGTTCCCCTCTCTCTGTAGCCATTGAACCTGCAGTTCTTCATTTAGGAGCAGAGGCACGTGGAATTTCCCCCACCCACATTAACATTTCAATTGAACCAACTGAAGAATACAAAAAAAAAAAAAAAAAAGAAAGGAAAGGAAAGAAAAGAAAAGCTGCTTAAGATAGTGGGAGAAATTGGCAAAAAGTTTAGTTGGCAAAGTTTACAGCCAAGCAACACACAACACAATTTCTTCAGTTCATTGATTTTAGATATTATTTAGGGGAAAGGCAGCCACTTCCTTCCAATTACCTAGATTTTCATCCCTGACTGATCTGAATAGAATTTCCACACCATATTTCTTCTCAATATTGATGGTTTCTTGTATTTGGGATCAGTTCTCAAATATAAGAGAACCCTTAATAGTTCAACTAGTAAGACAATTCCTAATAGACTAACACTGAAAACTACCCAGAAATCAATTAACAGTATAAAGAATAAACCGTGACCCACCATAATAAATATAAGCAATAAGAAGGAATCATTTAAAATTACCTGCCACATTTCCAATAAATCCTATCGATGTGCCAAGTAGAAAAGGAAGCAAACACACGAGTCCAAACTAACCTATTCTGCAGACTACAACGGAGAGGTGGGAGGAAGACTTCCGGGCACTGGCAGTGTTCTTTCTGTTGACTTCTACGCTAAGTCTGTGTGACCTTCACTTGATACAAATAAAGCTTATTCTTGAATAATATGTTGTTAAATCATTCTTTAAAACATATTTTTTATTGGAATGCTAGGTCTCTTGTAAAATTCATATTAGAACTCAGTTGTTGGTGCATTAATATTAAAAAGTAGGGTCTTTCAAGAAGTGCTTAGGTCATGAGACCTCTGCTTCATGTGTGAGATTAGAGACCTAGAGATGGGGGCAAAAGGGAGATACTGTCTTGTGAATTAGTCACAAGCTTCAGCATACAGGTAACAAGCCTTCTCCAGACCCCAGATCAGTCATTACTTTTCACTGGGCCTCTCAGTACACAGATTATGAGAAACAGATTTCTGTAGGATGTAGCCCATCCAGGGGAAGATATTTTGTTACAGAAGCTCACTAACAGAAATTTTATTTTAGATCTCTCCTTTCTGGCTATCCCTGACATGAACACTCTCATTAAAAGCACACGTATATTTCAAAATTCTATCTCTAAAAGATAAATCTATATATGAAATATAAATTTCAAATTTTAGGAATATGAAATGTTGAAAATCTGTTTATATGTATTAAGAAAATGTAAAACTTGCAGGGTATATTTCAAAGAAAAACTTAATCAGCAAAACTGTAATAAAAGGTAGAAAATAAAAGGTAGAAAAGTATGAACTAACAAGTTTCTGTATGGTAAAGTAACTAATTAATTAATAAGAATTAGACTATAATATATAATAATATATTTACAATTATATATTATATAATATATAATAAAAGCACCAACAAGGATTTAATGAAACTGTAACAATATCTTCATGACATTTCCAAATTATTAAGGAGACAAGTAAACTTGGTAAAGACCTGGGGACTCTCCTTCCCTGGGCACTCAGCTTCTTTCTCCTCAAGTGGTCGAATTGCTGAAGTCTAAACCTTGCTCACTTCTGTGTATGTAGACCATTGAAGAGAGGAAAGCTAAGTGCTCTACCGATTCGATGATTAGTTAAAATCTGGACTTTAAATGTAAAAGGACCATGGGATGGTGAATAAAAAATAGCAATGGCTTTCCATATTGTGTTTCCTGTCTTTTGTTTATAGACAGAATCCTGCTCTACAGCCTAAGCTGGTCTCACATTATTGATCCTTTTGCCTCGGTCTCCTAAACGCTAGGGTTAGAGGTGTATGACACACCTGGCTGTTTCTTATTTTGAAAAAGTGATTCCACAGTAAAAATACCTGTACTGCAATTAAGATTTTGACAATTATTAGGTAATGTAACTAACATATTTAAACTTATGCTCCATTTTTACACATGCTCAAATCAAAGTATATATAGTCACAATAAGCAGAATTTATGTCACAGAATAAAAGTGATTCATTAGCCTAGTGTATACTATAAAATAACGGACAATTACCAAATATACTGTATGATTTAAAACAACAAAAATTTTTAAGAGAAGGGCTTTGCATTCCCCACTATAAAAGGTTTATTAGAACTTATATTTCAAGACAAATATTTAAAAAGTTAGAAATTACCTTAACAGCCACTCCTTTTCCTTCAGGAAATTCTAGAAGATGAAAAGTCAGTTCTTCAACCCTGGTAATACAGAGCTTTGGGTCGGTTGTTCTTCTTAAGGCCTGAACTAAGGCTCGAGTTCTGTTATCAATACTCACTCTTGCAATAATCTACAAGGTCATATGAAATACGTGATTAGAAGATAAAGTTACCCTATAAATGGTTAATGTTTCTTAGGACCACTCTGAGAAACAACTTGCCTTTTCTCGCTGAAGAGACACACGTTTTTTCTCCTCTGCCTTCTTGTCTTTGCTGACAGTTTGCTCAGTTTTAGCAGGCTCTTCCTGTCCTTCTGGCTGACTCTTTGAGTCAGACTTTAATTTGGGTACAAGTCCACCAATGTAACCACCGACTAAGGCTTGTACGCCCTCAGTGGGACGAGAAAGGAAGTTAGCAATACTTTGCTTTGCAGACACCGGAAGAACCTCTGGCGTCTGGCTAGGGCTGGAAGGTTTGTCCCCAGCATCTAGGGAAGATCCTGAGTCTGGCCTGTCTGTCACGATGTTGGGGTCAGGAGAACTGGATTTCTCTTCTTCAAGGTCTGTTTTGTCCTGAAGATGTTTAACTTCCTTTGTTTGAGACATTTTTTCCTTGCGACTGAAGTATGAATTAATATGGTTCGCTAAAAAGTAGAATGACTCTCCAAATCTGGTGGTTATGGTGTACGTGTAATGGAAAAGGCTCCGTTTACCTGCATCGTCTTCTTTATCTGCAATGTAGCTTTTCTGTTCCACAAAAGAATTCTTTTCTGCTGATTTATCACTATAGTTTTTCAGAGACTCAATGGTTTGTTTAACTTTTTTTTGTTCTAACCAGCCCCTATCTGATACTTTTCTTAATATTCGAGAATTTGGCTTAAACTGAGCTAACCGTGAAACCATTTCATTTTGACTGCCAAAAATAGCCTTTGAAACAGAATTCAAAGTACTTTTAATACGGGACATATGAATGCTCACTTTTGTAAGTCCCTTGGGAGCAGAAGTGCTAAGTTTCAAAATTCCAATATGTAAGCCATGGTTGCTTGGAGAGGGCCAGTGCTTACTGCAATGCGCTTCACCTGTGTTCCACCTACAGCTTCTCTTACTTGTGTGAAAATCTCTGTGCACATTGATATGGGGCATTCGCCAGTAATGTTTAGAACACACAAAACGCAGCTGTTTGCTTTTCTGATTCCGACAAAGACTTCTTGCATTACTGAGGAGGTAAATATATATATCTAAAGTCAAATTAATAGACATAACTTAAAAATCATTTATTTTCTATGTGACATTCTCTCATTTCACTCCTGAGTGCTTCACTTAAATAATTCCATAATTCATGGTCTTACCTGTAAAAAAAAAGATTAATTAGTATTCAAGTTAAAAAAATAGTTCAGTTTATACGCATGACTTTGTACCCAGCAACAAACCATTCAAAACAAGATGGACTAAGGCTGGAGACAGCTCAGAACTAAAGCGCAGTTGTTGCTGCTCTTGCAGAAGACTCAAGGTTCAATTCCCAGTTCACAGCCTGGTCTCTACACCTCCCAGGTCCAGAGGATCACATGCCCTCTTCAAGCTTCTCAGGGCACTACACAAATGTGGTACACAGCATACATGAAGGTCAAACATCCAACACATAACAAATAACAATAAACAATAATTAAAAAGATGGAATACTATATTTCCAATATGACTGGTAAGATTTAATTTTAAAAATAAAAAAAAATTAAGTGTTCAGTGCAGATGTCAGTTGGGGAGTAGAAGAAGAAATCAGAGACACTGCCTACTAAGTCCTTCTAATTATGCTATTTTCTCTTTTTACTATTATTAAATTTTTGACTAGCTTGAAGCATTAGACTTTAAGTACTCTGGAGACAAGAGTCAGGTCTTTACCCCATCTGCTGCGAATCATTTATGGGATGCTCAATCCACAGTGGACATGGTATTAAATGCCGAGTCCACCCACAGATTAGAGCAAGAAAGGGCCATGTCAAGACTATCTTCCCTACCTAGTAATAGCTGCTCACTAAAGAGGCTCCCTAATTTCCCTTATCTAGTAATTTCTCATTAAATTAAGGGAGACGGATGATGGCTCCATGGGTAAGGTGTTTGCTGTGCAAGCATGAGGACCCAAGAGTAAAGTGGAGAGTGACACAAGATGACTCAGATGTTGACTCCTCCTCTACACAGTACACATCAGAAAATATGTGCACCAGCTTGCAAGTGGTCGTAATTACAATATAGAAAAACATACATAAATAGGAATAGTGTAAAATGGACAAGAGACATTATAAGCCATTCACAGATAAATAAAACAGTAAAATAATAGAAATAATTATAAAATTAAAATGCACCAAATAAAACAGACATTTTGGCCAAGTATGATGGCACGTGCTGCAGTCCCAACACTCAGAAGGCTGAGGGAAGGAGGATTACAAATTCAAGACCAGTATGAGCTTCATGGGATAAATGGCTGGGGTTACAGGGTAAGATACTGAACAAAACAACAAAAGTTCTAACCTTTTAACTAGTAAAAGTGGGGGCTACAGATGTACCTCAAAAGTACCTGACACAAGCCTCACCTAGTGCATACAAGGACACAGAATCAGTTTCTAGCACTGGGCATGGGAGGTGGGTAGCAATTGAGAAAAATACAAGTGCTATCCATTGTTGATAATGAGTTAGGAAAATAGGATACAGAAGCTTCATGGCAAAATCTGACGAAATTTTATTTAGTTTTTATTTTTTTAATTTTTCAAGACAAGAGTTTCTTTGTATAGCCCTGGCTGTTCTGGAACTCGTTCTGTAGACCAGAGTAGCCTCAAACTAAGAGATCAGCCTGTCTCTGACTCTGTAGTGCAGAGAATAAAGGCAAGAGTGTGCCACAACCACCCAGTGATCTGAATAATTTTAAATTTTATTTATTTTTTTAATGATAGAGAAAAGTCAGACCAAAGAAGATGCTATTTCCTGTGAAGAGATGTAATTCTGAGAAGTGAGCCAACACAAAACACAGCTTTAACCTTAAAGAGAATAAAACAGCTTTTTCTTGAACCAAATATGAGTGAGTATGGTCTGAGGACATAAGATTCAGGCTGACCACTGTAGACGTGGTTATGTAAGATATTAGTAGTTATGGAGCAAGGAAAGTCCTAAATCACAGTATTGAGACCTGGATCCCGATGGAGAACCAAGGAAGACAGAATACAGCAGAGCAGGTACACTATAACACAGGTTCCAGTGTTCCGATCTTAGAACATTCTAAGTGCTGAATTTGGGGATTACAGAGTCAGATGGTTAGTTAGGAGTCCATGGCAAAGCAAAAAGCAGGGTGGCAGCAACAGCTAAGAGCTTTGTCATAGTTTGGGCTACTACTGCCATAATAAAACATCAAGACCAAGAAAAAGGCAACTTGCCCACAACCAGTGACGTACTTCCCTTACTACGACCACACCTCCTAGTCTTCCCCAAAGAGTTTTACTAACCAGGGACCAAACATTCAAACACAGAAGCTTATGGAGGCCATTTTCATTCAAATCACAAGTACAAGATTATATGTTGAATCACAAGTAGGAGGCAAAGAGAGCTAACTGGGAATAGGAAGGGCATTTGAAATTTCAATGTCTGCCCTGCTAACATACTTCCTCCAACAATGCCACACCTCTTGATCATTCCCAAACAGGTCCACAAACTAGGAACCAAATATTCAAACAAATGAGCCAATATAGGAGGCCATTCTCATCAAATCACCGCATTCCATTTCTCCACCAAAGACTTGTGGCCATATCATAGCGTGAAACCCATACAGTCCAACTTCAAAGGTCCCCATAATCTTTCAGTCTCAACACAGTTTAAAAGCCCAGTTTCTTATGAAACCGAGGTAATCTCTTAATTGTAACCCCAGTAAAAGCAAAAGCAAAAAAGCAAACTATATATACTTCCACCATAGAATAGTACAGAATATACATTACCATTCCAAAACAGAGGACTAGTGAGGAACTGCTAACCAAAGCAAGACTACAATTTAGCAGGACATATCTCCAGCATCTTGAGGTTTTTAACACAATAGTGCAGTGCTGGTTTCAATTTCATTGCTTTACACAATGGCCTCTCAGGAACTCTTGCCCTCCCGGGGCCTTTATGCAGACCCTACTCTGTCACATGTGGCCTGGCCTCAGCAGCTCTCCTTAACCATGGAGGAAGATTCACAACCCCTTTACTCATGTGTCTGTCCTGTATGACTACCTGGATGACACTATGAAGTTTGACTGTCCTCATGGGAGGAAGCCTGGTCCCACACGTTTGAGTAAGATTCCTTTTGTAAGTTGCTTTTTAGAGGCAGACTATTACTCAGGCATTTCCTTTCTACAAGTGGGGAGCACAGCTGGATGCCTGTCCTGAGGGCATCCCTCCCTTTCTTCCAACCTGGAACTTTCTTCCACCTTTAACTTTTCATGTTTCAGCACAAGCCTTGGCTCCACTGTTAAATTTCCTTCCAGGTGCTCATTTCTGCTTCAAACTATACATTTTCTATTTCTTTTTTCCCAGCTTGCTCCTCTTTCTTATAGACCCTCCCAGGAGTGATTACAAGTAACCATATGACAGAGACAATATGAGGCAGTCTTGATATATTCACCAAGGAAATTAATATACTGTTTTTCAATTTTGCTTCAAGAAAAATTTTAGGACAAGAACAGAATGCAACTACATTTTTTTGCCAGACTACCACAAGAATTCTCTCAAGGCCAGTTGCTAATAGTTTTCCTCTGAAACCTCTTGGGCCAAGCTACCATAATCTACTTGCTTTTGGCACTCTCCTACTAGGACGGTCTGCTAAGCCCCGTTTACAGCATTCAACTACACTTCTTATCCACACTTCCGAACTTATCCCCATTCCTCAAAAAAAGAAAAAAAGTGTGATCAGGACCACCAGCAATACCCCACTCCCTGTAACTTCTGTCTTAGTTACTTTTTTTATTGCTGTGATAAGACACTATGTCCACAACAACTTATACAAGTTTATTGGGGGCTTATAGTTTGAGAGGGTAGATATAATCCATGACCATCAATGGCAACAGGTGTGCAGGCATGGTGCTGGGGACCAGCAGCTGAGAGCCTACAACCACTCACACAAGTGTGATGGAGACTACTCTTGTTTCCCGGCCACCCAGACCTGAATAATCACACAGACTGTATTAACTACAACACTGTTTGGTAAATGACTCAGGTGATGTGGGATTTCCCTCTGTATGCTGTGATTACTATTAATGAATAAAGAAATTGCTTTGGACCTATAGCAGGGCAGAACTTAGGTAGGCAGGGAAAACTAGTTTAGTTCCCAATTGAATGCTGGGAGGAAGAAGGTCAGAGTCAGAGAAAAGCCATTAAGTCTCCGGAGACAGACTCTGGGAACTTTAGCCAGCAGGGCACAACCTTGTGGCAATACACAGATTACTAGAAATAGGTTAAACTAAGATGTAAGAGTTAGCCAATAAGAAATTAGAGCTAATGGGCCAAGCAGTGATTTAATTAATATAGTTTCTGTGTGATTATTTCGGGGCTAAGTGGCCAGGAACCAATGATGTGGGAATGATTTCTTACTAATAAAGAAACTGCCTTGGCCCATTTTATTGGATAGAAAATTAGGTAGGCGGAGTATACAGAAGAGAATTCTGGGAGAAAGAAGGTTAGAGAAAGAGTCGCCATGATGCTCCCACTCCAGACAGACGCAGGTTAAGATCCTCTCTGGTAAGCCAGCTCATGGGCTACACAGAATATTAGAAATGAGTTAGAACAATATGTAAGAGCTAGCCAATAAGAAACTGGACCTAGCCGGGCCAGGCAGTGTTTGAAAGAATACAGTTTCCGTGTAATTATTTCTGGGTATACACTAGCCATGCGGGCGGCCGGGTGCCGGGGACGCAGCCCCGCTGCCGCTATTTCAACAGATGGCGCCCAGACGTGATGGGCTAAATCCACTTAAAAACCTGAGAGGACTTAAAAAGGAGAGAGAGAGAATTTAAGACAGCTTTTTGCTGTTTCTGGGTTGTGTGCTGCAAAGAAATTGTCCTGACTCGGCAGCAGGAAAAAACTGGCTGTTTTAAAATGCCGGCTTTCTGGGCTGTGCCGCCATTGTGATCTCTGTCTGGCTCCGGCGGGAGACAGAGCTTATGAATGGAGCATTTGGATTAAAGTGCTATGATTTGTTTGATGGCAACTAGACTGCTGTGTGCCTAAAAGGGGGACATTGTGTGCCACAGCTCAGAGGCACAAGCAGCTCCGCCATGCTACTGGTGCAATGTGCAAGGATCAGAGGCACGAGCGGCTCCGCCATGTTGGACTGGGC